CTCCAGTGGTGGATTGAGGGTCTTCTGGCTCATGTCTTTGTTGGGGAGTTACTTGCCTCTCTTGTAGGGACGCCGTGGCGTGTCCACCGGGGCCCTCTGCATTGCTGGTCTCAGGGGAACCGTTTGCCGGTACCCCTGTCTGGAGGGGTCCAGACATCGGCTCTCCTGACCTTCGGCCTCCTGCATTCGGAGGTGGGTCTGACGGGAGCGGGACAGATTGTTGCATAAGTGGAGGGGGGGCTCCCGACATCGGCACTCCTGACGCCTGGAAACCAGAGGTCAGGGGTTGGCCGGCCTGAGTTGGGACTGTTTGTTGCACGGGAAAAGAGGAGGGAGGGGGGGGAAAGGGGGAGGGCGGGGGAGGCATCCCTTCCCTTTCCTCTCGTGCCTTCCCTTTGGGATTGTTGGGTACTGGTCTGTCTCCTTATCCCGTAGAGTTCCTAGAGGAGCTTTTGGTTTGTTGACAGTCCTGCGTCTCATGTCCATACCAGCGGCAATTGTTGCAATGCCGAGTGAAACAGTCAACCAAATCCGCGGTAAGGATGTCCAAACCCAGGATAATCTGGATTCGGGGGTTAAAATTCTCCTTGTCTGCAGGATTTAAACCAAACTTAATATTGACCAAGTGTGGATTTCCCTCATCATATATGGGGTCGAAATCCTTAATCACTTCGCCAATCGATTGGCCAATCATCGTGCGCAGAGTCAAATATGCGCCGATTGGGACTTTAATAGCCATTACCCAATAATTCTCCTTCTTCTCTTTGTCCCTCAGCTCATTCCACTCATTCTTTGGCAGCCAGGATCTGATAAGTACTTTGTACCACTTGCCCTTCAGTTTAAATTTCTCCAGATCCTTCTTAATCAAGACGTCCCTGATTTCTTTGGAGCGCGCTATGTACGTAACTATATGTTATCCTTCAACATGGGTAGTACCACGACCTAGAGCGAGTTGTTGGGGAGATAGCTTGCCTCCCTCCAAGTTGCGGATCAAGAGCAGTTTTTCTGAACTGCTGATGAAGTTGGTCGGGCCCTGAAAAGCATATACAACCGTATGCTCTTTCAGCCATTGGATCTGAATCCGATTGAAGTCATCGCTCGGTATGCCCTTAATAACCCCATTGATGACCCTTGTCCTCACGTACCGGCTAACATCTGGGATGTTGCCTTGCGAATAGCATTCCTGCAGAAGCTTCCTGATTCTTACCTCTTCTTCTTCTGAGATAGGCTCACTCCAGCTTTCTGTTGGAGGGTCTCCTTCAGCGAAGGGGTCTTCAGGATCCATTGGACAGTCTGAGGTTGAAATGAAAGGCAGGTTGAGGAGGAATTCCAAAATCAGGATAGGAGATGGGAGTTGACAAGGGAGAGTCAGAAGTAGACGAGGAATCAGGTGTGGAGATTCGAATAGAGTATTCCAGTTAGGTTATAATACTGGAATACCGTGGATCCTAGGATCCAACATTCTTACTTAGAATTCCCACGGTGGTTGGACCTACCCAATTTAGCTTGAGTTTGTCTCTTCTATTACGAGGTCGGGGAGGAAAAAACCCGCGCTGAAGTGTCACCAATGAAAACGTCGTTTAAAGACAAAACATCATCATGATGATTCAATAATTTAAACGGAGGTCCCTTGTAGTGAGGGGTTCGAAAAGAGTTCTTTTTCCGAAAAAAAGAATCTCGGATTCAGGAGGACCCGCCCTAGGTCATACCCACTCAGGAGAAGGCAGCCCTAAGTTCGAAATCGATCCCGTGGCGACCTCCTCTCCGAGAGCGGAGGAAAGAAAAGAACAATCCGCCCAGAATCTCCGAAAATACCAATAATAGGATGGACCAGAGAGATACCGCTCCTTCCCTGCAAGACGTAGTCCAATACCTAAACAGTGATTTACTAATACGGAAAAAGAACAAGAAGTTGCTGAGGCATAGTACTGAGCTCTATTGACCATTGCAGAAGGACATAAAATTTTGTCCAGAATACTTATCAGCAATAAGCGACAAAAATATAATTATCATTCTCAAGCTTCTCAAAAAGGAAGTTCGAGGGAAAGAAGGTCCGGAGAAAAAGAGGACAGTAATTTCTCCCACAAAGTAGACGCTCGCTACCTTTCAGAGAACATTACTTGAGGAGAAAAAGCGAAAATTCTCATCCCATAGTGTAACGATACCATAGGAGTGAAGACAATTCACCGTATCAGAGTTACTGCGCCATTCGAGGAGAGCATTACAACTCGAGGATCGAAAAAAAGTTATGATGTTACCTTGTCTCTCTGCGTGGTATAGAAAGAGTCTCGGCGGAGAATTCTTGCCATTCACAGCGCATAATAAAACTGCGCAACGCCTGTGGACGAGATGCCATTTGGCATATCATCACTAATTGCTGGGTTAACAAGAGTTGATAACTGTTTGAGAACTTTGTCCCAGTCCCTACGTGCTACGGTGAGATAGCCTGTATCTGAAAGCCTTGACTGGCTAGAGCACTTCCCCTGATGTCGAGTGCCTGAGTGGCTATGGCGACATCGTTCCGGGTTAGGTGAGGTGACCTAATTCGTCACCGTGTGCTCGTGCAGGCGCAGCTTGGCGCCACTTCGAGCGCACCTTGTTGCCTCTCTTTTCTTCTTTTTCTGCATGACTGACCAGACTAACAACAACAAACACCCTGCTAAACACCCCATCCCTGCTCTTGTGTGGCACTCCGAACAGGCAGCAACATAGCTGAGAGGAGTAGGGCTGAGGTGAGTAAGGTAGTCACTGCCGGCAACCAACACCCAGTGGCCTTACTTGCTGAAATTTCTTATCTATTCCTAATTCTTCTGCAATCTAGCAAAGAGAGTGGGGAGCTAGTTATGATCACGCGCCGTAATTAGGGTGAAGAGGCTCCTCCCCTGCTCAGTTAATCCCCTGCTCCCCAGGGCAATCAATGCTGGCAGGACCTGTCCTACATTGTTGTTGACAATTCTCAACTGTACCACATCTATAAGGGACGCTGGACCCGTTTTCCAGCAGGTGTTGCTCCCCACCAATAGATGGAGCCTATCCCCATGTGCTAACGGCGGCTGCTCTTATCACCGTCGTTAGCACCGAAGGGATTGTTTTCTGGAAGGGGGGGGGGGGAAAAAAAAAAAATCTGAAAATTTGAGATCTTTTGATTAATTACTCAGAGCACGAACAATCAACTTAGCAAAATCCAATCAATCTTCCGCCATGGGCAGTTAGAGGTGGTAGGGGGCGGCAAAGGACGGTTAGGGTTGGTTGGGGACGGTTAGGGGTGATAAGGGGCGGTTAGGGGCGGTTGGGGACGGTTAGGGCCGGTTAGGGGCAGTTGGGGACTGTTAGGGGTGGTTANGAAAAAAAAAAAAAAAAAAAAAAAAGGGCCTGCTTTCGAGCCTGATCCCTGCCTGCCTTGGCCTTCTTAGTGAGAATTCACAAAGCCCCGTCGATAAAAACGCATGGTCCGGTACAGAGAAAAATAGGGGTCCTCCCTTTAGAGCGCCCATTTGTAGTCAAAGGCTCCCATTTACTCTTGGGCCCGGTAACAAATGTCAAGGCCCTGTCGATGCTGGCGCAGTGATTTCCTTCGTTCTCGGCCCTGAGGTAATTCCCCACTGTCATAGCTTCCCAGTTCACCGGCGGGCTTGACGCAACTCTTGGGATACCTTCACTCTGTAATTTTAATTTGACGGCGGTGACAAGTTCCGGTCGTCCGATCACATACCTTCATTCAACGTTAGAATTGTCCAGTCTTACTAAAATAATAAATTCTCCGGCTACCGCCGAGTCTTAGAAAAATCACCCTCCTAGGCCCATATTTTCCCATAGTCTCGTCTGACCTTGGTTTCTCCCGTGTCGTCTCTCCTTCATCAGTCGATCGTCTCCCGTTCGATCGGTCCGCAAGGTGAAAACCGTCGGAACTGGTCACTGTGTGAAGTCTGACCGTCAACTATAGACTTTTCAAAGGAACTAAAGGGCGGCGTAAGGCTTGGGCCGCCCGACAGCAGCCCCCCCTCCATTCTCGACGTCCCCGTCAAGCCATCTTGGAGTGTCGTGTGATTATCGAGAAGGAAAATTTTAATCAGCTGACACCTAATCCGTACCCGATCAACCCAAAGAAACATATTCCTTTTATAATTTTCATTCTTCCTTTTGCCTTTCCTACCTCTCTTTCCACCATCGTTTCTTTTAGCTTTCCACTTTTTGTTCCTCACTTGCTTTTTCAACCACTGTATCGATGCCAAGCTCCAGTAGACTTTGAATTTGTCTCGCCACTTGTGGAAGTAAAATTTTCTTTCGCTCATACGCTTAGTCGGCGGTTTCAGTTTGACAAATGCTAAAATACCTTCTTCCTGGAACATCAGGTTTTTGAACTTCCGAGTTTTACCTCCTCCGTTCACGAGCGTCCTTCTCCTTCTCGCTCTCATTTTTCATCCAATCAGTAAGGCTTCAAAGAGTGTAAAGAAAGGTCTTGCAAGAAAGTTATCGCTTGACAGGCTTGTACGGATCCATAAGGAGCATAGTTCACCCTTCGCACCACCATAAAGATCAAACGTAATGAAACATTCAGTTACGCCAGGTAAAATGCCGACGTCAAAGCTGGAGCCGCAACACCAACAGCGGAAAGCACGAGCATATGCCGACACAAGGATGATCAACAACAGAAAAGGGAGACACAAGTCTATATTCCAGCCTCGGTCCCTTATCCCAAGTTGAAACACTGCGACCCAATTTCTAGTCTCGACCGAATCATTATCATCAATAACAGATTCCTTCACTTGAAATCCTTCCTTGAGTTGTGACAGTTCCTTAAATTCTCTTGACGTGCCTCTAAGATGGTCAACATCCTCAATAAGCTTAACTTCCACGATGGTTTTTCCTCCGCCTTCTTGGTCAGATGGAAGTCGAATCTCATAGTCTTGACCCTCCAAAAGGCTCCCATCTAATTCTCCTTCAACACTCACCGCCATGAATTGATCCATTATGTAGTCCCCAATATCTTTCGTAGTTACCAGATTTTGACTCATAGTTGTCTTAGGACTATTCCCAACATCATTTCCAGATGTATCGACGGTCTAAAACAGTTGGGCAAAGCCATAGATGACATCAGCCTCGACGGTCTCAAATAATTGAGCAAACTCGTAGCTGTCTTCAGGCTCGACGACCTCAAATGGTCGAGCAAGTCCATAGTTATCGTCCAGCTTATTTGTGACTTCAAATGCTTGTGAAATTTTTGCGCCCACAACTTCGTCGAGGGGATCTCTTTCATCTTGATCCTCTATCAACTCGTCTTGGGTGTCTTCAGTACTTTTAAAGTTTTCCCGTTCCTCATCTATTGTTATCATCTCCATTGTCGTGGTTCGATTTACCAGTGTCTCCTCAATAACCCTCGGATTTTCGCCCGTCGACGAGACATCGATGCCGAGGCTACCACTATCGGTTCTATCCTTACTGAATTCTCCATTAGCTTCCGTAGCACACACTAAAGTCGCATAGGAACCTTCCTCACTATCCTCGAACCGAATGCTTGAAAATTGAATCGTCAGATTATCTTTTGCATCTAGATCCTCCTCAAACCGGACACTCGGTACCCAGAACTCTCCCTGCTCTGGCTCTTCCGCTGTCCTCGTTCTAATGTCAATGTTCGTCTCCGTAGAAGTTCGGAAGAGTATATTTTCGCCCTCATTTTCCTTTTTATACCGGTTCTCTTCAAACCTGATACTCGGCATCCAAATTCCTCCCTGAATCACCTTCTGCGTTGCTCCTGCATTAATGTCAGTATTCATCTTCGTAGAAGGTCCGCATGATATATTTTTCTTGTCATTTGCACATTCGATCCCTCTCCTCTCATTCAGCTCGATGATTTTCTCAGAGTCTTTTTCTCGTCTGCCCCGAGGCTCTTGTTGTAAGGGAATCTTCAACGGTTCCTCGCTCCCTCGAGGTGAGACATTCTTCGTTTTTTTTATCCTCTCTCGTTCATTCCTTAGGGTTTCTATCTCCTCGACCATTTCTCATCCTTTCCTATGTGATCTCCTTCGTTCTTCCTTTTCTTCTCTACTTCTCCAACGCCTATCTCGAAATCCCCTACCGTCGTTCTTCTTCCAGTTGTCACGGTTTCCTCCTTTCCATTCCCCACTATCTCTACTTACTTTACTTTTGTCAGGCGACATGAACTTTTTTCCATCCTCATCACCGAATTGTTTTTCTAAATGACTTCCGGGTACTCCTTTCCCTAGTTTCTCCAACACCCCATGGAATCTGGTCCCCCAGTCTGCAAAGCCAATGCCTTTGTCTGAGCGAACGACACCCTTTTAGTGGGCGTGTTCTCCATAACAAACTTTCTTCTCTCGATAGGTAGAGTCCCTATGAATATACCGCATCGTTCTATCTCACCGGGAAACCCATTTTCTATCAATGGTTCAGATGCCGTCTCAAAGTGTCTCGCAAACGCCACTAACGTCTCTCCTTCCTCCTCCTTCATCTCCTTTAAGTACTCGACCGAGTAGAAGATGCCGTCACATGCAAAGGCTTGAGACAATCATTCTCTGAAGGTTGCCCACTTCCAATCCTCGGGTATAGCAGCATGCACGTCTTTGTCTAGATTGAGATCGGTGTGATTAATGAATCCCATTATCGCTTCCCGATCAGTCCAACCCACTCTCAAGGCATAAACTTCCCAGTCATTCAGGAACTCTGTTACCCGATGTCCCGTGAAACATAGAGGCTGGCCGAAGTACGGTGGTTGGTAAAACATTGAGTTGTACAATGGTCCGCACGCCATAGCATATGGATCTGGTTTGCATGGTGGCTCATATCGTCCCTTTTGCCAAGTCTCCCCTTCAGGAATCCTCACACTAGTTGCCGCCTTTACATGAGGAGGTCTGTTTTCAAACTTTCGACTCCACCTTTCTCCTACTCTCGTCGTCTTCCTTTCTCCTTCTCCGGGACTCTCAACCCCCATCTTTCTCTCAGGAATATTAAGCTCACTCCTTACTTCCGAGAGTCAAGTTCTCTCCGCAACTTCTCAATGTTTCAACCCTCCATCAATCTGGAAGTGTACTCTCTCAGACGTTGTGTAGCTCAGCCCGACTGATGAGCTCATAGATCCCTACGACAGGCCGCCACTGGACCCGCCTATATCCCTGACAACGTCAACAGGCCTAGAAGAGAACCGCCCTCTGGCGTATCTCCTCCTACCCTTATGTCGAAAGAGAGGTTGATCTCATGTCGCCATCGTCGCTGGCCTACCGATCCCGAGAGCTATCCCTTGACGTGAGCCGGCCAACTCGTGCGTCATAGGGTCGGACCAAAGTCACACGCTCACGGAACGGTGGTATTTCCCTCGTGCAATCCTATCCGGCACCATGTCTCTACTCGGCCCACCTCAGACATGGATTTACCCGGGACGCTTTCCCCCGACACTGTGTAGTGTCCTAATCAGACCTCCCGCTAACAATCGGATCAGCTAGCCTGTCTATTCGCCCCAACTCCTTGCGATCCGGGGCGCTTCTCCCCTCCCCTTCAGTCCCTCCAGTTCTTCCCCTGCTTACAATTTTCTCTATTGGAGTCAGATCGGGGTAGACTGACCAAAGGGTAGGGATAAAACCAGAATTATCTCGCTCGATCACAATCACAAGAAGGATGGAAGGAAAAAATGCATGAGATCACCAAATGCAAGAATCAAGAATATCACGAGCATTGCAAAAATCAACGTCTCACCGGGGCATGCCGTTCGCTGGTTGGCTGATTGCTCGTCGCCTGCTCCGCTCTAGTCGTACTCCTCTCCTGATCCTCTCATGTCCCCGCGGTTACAGGCGGACCAAAGTCCCGAGAGGCAGCCTTCCCCGGCAACGGCGCCACTGTCGACCGGTAGAAGTATTTGCCGGCCTGCGGAATCGACCTCGTCCCCTCCCGCGTCTGTCACCCACGGGGAGGCCGGTTCCGGGCTCCTGTAACCTGTAAAAAAATAACGTTAATACTTGACAAAATAAAGACAAGGGGATAAGGGATAACAAGGAGCGATACGAAATAAACAGAGTCACTGAAACTATTATTCTAAGTCCACTCATTCCCCCACACTGAAGTTTGTTTAATCCCTCACAAATCCACTGTACTAGGCTTGCATTTTATTCCAGTGTCGATTGATCTCCTCTCGTTTCTACGGTTAGGGTCTCGTTAGACACTCCTAAAAGAATCCTAAAAGATTTAGGACGAGTCCTAAAAGTTTTTTAGGATTTCGCGCGGCGTCATTACACGCAATCCTAAAAATCGTCTTTTAGGAATCGTCCTAAAAGGTTTCCTGCGGCCCGTTTTCATACATATATACGCAGCCGCATCGCGGATGTCCGTCCAGTCCTGGCTGGTGTTCGTGGTCCACACTGCGGTGGGGGTTTGGCGGCTGCCGACGGGTTGGTGAAGCGCGCGGTTGCCGAGACCTTCAAAATTTGAAATTTGAATTTTGGCGGACACAGGCTGGCAGGCTGGAGGACGGCAAGGCGACGCGTGTGATGTACAAGACACGGTGGTGGCGGCCCCTTCGCCGTGGGTAACCAGCTTTGCTGTACGGGGGAATTGTGAGGCGCGCGGCGCATCTTCCTGCTCGGCGCATCTTCACGTACGGACGTGCCGTCGCCTTCGCTGTGGAAGCGTAGAGCAGCAGGCACCTCTTCGCCATCGCGCTTGTTCCATCTCCTGAGGTAGTGCACAGCTGCGGGATGTCTACGGGTCACACAGTGTGCGTGGTGTCCAGTGGCAACGCTGAGCAGCGGGCGTATCTTGGGCGGTTGCGGCAGGAGCGAAGGTGTGGCGGGTAAGCGATTTGCGGAGATGGATGGCGGAGATGGATGGCGGAGGCTGCGGCCACGGTCTGCGGGCGGAAGAGATGGAGGCGGTGGCGATTGCTGTGTCTACCGTCGTCCTAGAGACGATGAACGAGATGTCGTCGTCGTCACGAGACGTGGCGAAGCAGCTCTGTAAACGACGAGCGCTGTTGTAGAGCTATGCCAAAGCGGCGGATTGCGTGGCAACGTGTGAGGCAGTGGTCCAGTTGTGTGTCGCACTGTCATCTGGCGTTTTCCCCCGGCAGACCTCGCGATGGTGGATCAAACGACGTACTGGCGGAACATGGGAGGACCTCCGGCAAAGCGATGACGCCACGGACGAGTACTACCGCCAAAAGTTGCACATGTCGATGGCCATGTTCAAGCAGATCGTAGCCGCTCTCGCCGCGTTCGTGGAGAAGAAGGTCACGCACTACAGGACGCCATTGCCAGCGGAGCAGGTTATCGCTTTCGCGTTGTACAGGTGGGCGTTCGGGGAGACGTACGAGAGTGGCACTTCAGCTTTCGGCATCGGTAGGGTCACTGGACTGCAGGCCGTCCGCGACGTCACTTCGGCGCTGCTGCGGGTGTACCTCGACACCATCAAGTGGCCAGTGGGCCGCAGACGTGCGCAGATTCTCCGCACTTTCTGTGACAAGGGATTCCCGAACTGCTTCGGCGCCATCGACTGCACACACATCTACATCGACAAGCCCGCCGACGCACCTTCTGCCAACTACTACGACCGCAACCACAAGTTCTCAGTGCAGGCGCAGGTCGTCGTGGATTTGGATCTCCGGATCCTAGACGTCCACGTCGGATACCCGGGGAGTGTGCACGGCGTCCGCGTCCTGCACAATTCCCAGCTCTGGAGGCGCGCGCAGACTGGCGAGCTCTTCGACACAGCTCCAGAGAATTTGTCGCACGGTGTCGTCACGCTAGGATACCTGCTGGGCGACAACGGTTATCCTGTTGCCTGTCCATGGATCGTGCAGCCATATGGAGGAATAGACCAAGGTCCTGTTGAGGAGCGCTTCGACAACCGGCAGAAGGTGGCGCGGGGGTGTGTGGAGAAGGCGTTCGGCCGACTGAAGTGCATGTGGCGTCTGTTCTTGCGCACCCACAAGACGAACCTGGAAACATTGCCACAACAATTCGTCGCCGTCTGCACTCTCCACCACATCCTCCTCGATGCGGGGATCGACTTCGATGAGAACCTGTTATGGGAGGTGGGTCCGGACGGCGTCAGGCGCAGAGTGGACTTGGCCATTGTCGGGGGCGGCGGAGGCGGGCAGCCACAGAGCTCCAACGTCGAGGGGGAGTTGTTGCGGAACGTGCTTCGCGACCGCCTGGCTTTGATGTAGG